AGGGAGCCCGATGCGGGACTCGATCCTGGGACTCCAGGATCATGACCTGAGCCGAAGGCAGTCGCTTAACCAACTGAGCCACCCAGGCGCCCCTTTTCTTTCTTTTTTTTTTTTAAAGAGTTTCTTTCAATTTCTAATCTTTATCAGTTTATTGCTTTGGGAACAGAGAAGGTGACTTACACAATTTCTGCTTTTTGGAATTTATAGACTTTCTTTGTGGTGTAGTATGTGACAGATGTTCATGTTTTTCATGGGTGTTGGAAAATAAGTTTTATTCTCTTTAAAGTTGAGAGTTGGCTACTAGCACTTAAATCAGACTTACTAATGATGGAATTCAGGTTCTTTTTATCATTATTTTTGATCAGTTGATCTGTTGTAGATTAGAATGGTAAGTGAAATCCTTCCACTACTATTATACTCATGTCACTTTATTCTTGCCTTATTAAATGTTTTTGCTTTATATAAAGAAGATTCATGGAAATAATATTCCTAATTTGAGTTATATTCTTCATCAGTGTGAAATCATTCTATTTTCCCTTGAATTATTTAAAAACATGTATGCAGCAGATATTTTATTATAATAAGTGCTCATTGTAAAATTCTAGAATAATAAAAACTTGCATAAGTGGAAGCCAAGATCTTTTTGGTCTCTCCCAAGAATTTCATTCCCCTGATGTACTATTGTTAAAAGTTTGTTGTATAGCCTTCCAGACTTAAAAAAATTTATATATAAATTATTTTTTCATTTGCTTTTGAAATTCAATAATGTGATATGGATAGCTATCTCATCTCTTAATGGCTACCCATTACTTAATTGTATAAATTTACCATAATTTATTTAACATTTCTTCTTTTTATTAAGTCTTTGGGTTAGCAGTTTTATGCTCTTATATGTAATTTTATTTATTTATTTTTATTCTTTTTAAAAAATTCCTTTAGATCTTGAATTCTGTTTTTGTCTGATATTATTTTGTGAAATTCTATTCTTTATTTTCATGAGCCTGATAGATCTTTGCCCATTCATTTAAAAAATACTGCTTTTGAAATTATGTTTTTATTAAGTTCTCTGTCCATGTGTCTCCGTATCCATGAGGACTTTTCTAAGCATGTTTTAAAAAATAGCACTCTTTTCCTCTACTCCCCCTACTCTGGATTCTTCTTCCTAGCTTTATTTTTCTATATGGCATTTATCACCACCTGACACTTGTTTGCATATTTATTGTTACTGTTTGTTCCTCCCTAGCCCTCTAAACTAAAATGTAAATTCTATGAGGAGAGGAACTTTTTATCTGTTTGGCTCATTACTTTATACTCAGTGCCTGACATAATGTCTGGCGTATAGTAAGTATTCAATAAGAATTTGTTGAGTGGATACATTAGTCCCTTTGGTTTAAACTTTGTCCCCTTATTTTTTGCAATTATTTTATTAAAGATTATTGAGGCTCCAAAGTTTAGCTTTGACCTCACTCTTCAGCTGAAAATGAGCCATTCAAGCTATGGCTTTTTTCTTAGATTTTAGAAAACCAAATCACCAAATGCCTACTCCAGTGTCATTTCTGGAATCCCTAAACTGACTGCTTCTGGTTTACTAGCTTGTTGAGAGATGTCTGGATCTCAAAACAGGCAACAACAGTAAATCTGATTAAAGAAATATTCTTAAAAAGGAAAATCAGTGTAATATCACATATTGTTATTGCCACTGCAAAAACAAACAAACAAACAAACAAACCCACAACATTGTGAAGGGTATGAATGATTTCAGGCTTAAAAAATATGATGTTATGTTCACACCCTTCAGAAAAGAATTACAGCATGGGGTACTGTGACAAGATTACTGGCTGTAAGGTAGGGACCACTTATTATTCTTCCTCAGCCAAAGACAAGCACCGTAATATCCATGAGGTTTTGGAACTGCCTTGTCAAATAGTCATACACAACATTCAAACAGGAAAGGAGTAGCTACTACATTTTGAAGTCTTCCTGAACACATAGCAATACATAGTATTACTAACAAGCCAGGACTTAGAAAAAGTGGGACTCCTGAAGACAAAATAGTTCATTTGCTGGAACCTAATGAAGAGATAACCTAACTCATGAACTGGAGGGTGCAGGTATTTCTAGCATGATATCTACTTTAAGGATTCATTTCTCATGTTGCTCCAGGAAAGATGGTGAAATCGCTGTCCATCTATTGAAAGCGAAGATGCAAATAGAAAGAGACTGTTTTGCTATCTTGGAAGACATTTATGGTGCTCTATTGACACATTTCTAGATCTAAGGTTTAAGGGCAAATTAAAATAGTAAGTTCTTGCATAATATTAAAAATAAAAAATATAAGTGAGGGCAAACACTTGCTTTTGCTTCTGAAAGTATTCTGAAAGCATCTTCCTCCAGAAATGCACAGAGAGGGGCGCCTGGGTGGCTCAGTCGTTAAGCATCTGCCTTCGGCTCAGGTCATGATCCCAGGGTCCTGGGATTGAGCCCCGCATCAGGCTGCCTGCTCAGCCGAGAGCCCGCTTCTCCCTCTCCCACTGCCCCTGCTTGTGTTCCCTCTCTCTCTGTCAAATAAATAAATAAAATCTTTAAAAAAAAATGTAACTTGGGGCGCCTGGGTGGCTCAGTCGTTAAGCGTCTGCCTTCAGCTCAGGTCATGATCCCAGGGTCCTGGGATCGAGCCCCGCATCGGGCTCCCTGCTCCGCGGGAAGCCTGTTTCTCCCTCTCCCTCTCCCCCTGCTTGTGATCCTGCTCTCACTGTGTCTCTCTCTGTCAAATAAATAAATAGAATCTTTAAAAAAAAAAAATGCACAGAGATTCTGTTTGTGAGTTTGCTTCAATGAAATTGCACAGTCGCTGTTGACTAGATCTTAAGTCCAGAAGGAGCAGGGGAGATAAGAGTTTACTTTAATCCACTTGCTACTAGAGTGGAAGGGCAGCATTACTACCAGCAGTAGACTATTTTGACTAGATTTGGCAAAAAAAAAATTCTTTCCCTTTTGCTAACCTCAGTTGAAAGGAAGGGTCTATTTGATTTTGTGAATATGTGGTACATGACCATGCATAGGGATAATCTAAATAAATGGAGCTGAGAAATGATTATTCCAGCACTATAAAGTGAACTTTAATATTTGAGAAATAATATTTTAAGTAATCATATCAGAGCAGTGATTCAGTTTATTTTCTGGAAAAATACTCAGATTTATTCTGTCTCAAGAATTTCATTCTGTGATAGCTTCACCTTCGGTTTTGACCTCATCTGAATGTTGAGTTCAAACCTGGCCCTTCAGTATTGGGCCAATGCATGTATTTGTTACATTTCTATTAACTTTAAGTAGATACAAAATAACAATTAGAATACAAAGAACATCAATCACCTACACCTTGGTTTAAGAAAAAGAACAACACACTGTTAGTGCCTTTGTGCCTTCCTCAAGCCCATCCTTTTTCCCTAGAGGTATCCACTCTTCTGAATTTTGCATGTATCAGTTACTTACTTTTATTTTATAGTTTTATGACATACATATGTTTGCATCGCTGAACAATATATTTTTTAGTATATTTTTAGTTTTTCTGTAACAAAATTTTTAACATTTTAAAACATTACATCCATGTGGCAACGTTCATTTTCATGGCACTATTGTATTTCATTATGTGAACATTACGCACTTTATTCATTCTACTCTTTATGTACATGTGTTATTTGGCTTTTTAAAATTTTACTCTTTCACAGTGTTTCTATGAATATTCTTTTTTTTTTTTTAAATTTTCTTTCTTTTTTTTTTAAAGATTTTATTTATTTATTTGAGACAGAGAGAATGAGAGACAGAGAGCATGAGAGGGAGGAGGGTCAGAGGGAGAAGCAGACTCCCCGCCGAGCAGGGAGCCCGATGCGGGACTCGATCCTGGGACTCCAGGATCATGACCTGAGCCGAAGGCAGTCACTTAACCAACTGAGCCACCCAGGCGCCCCTCTATGAATATTCTTATAAATGTTTTCTATGGGTGTGTGTGTGTGTAGGGAGGTGGGCGCAGCTAGTGTTGGAGTGTGAGGTTGGAAGTCAAGTTTCATTTTCCTCATGTGGATGTCCAATTGTCCTTTCCCCACTCCCGTGAGTATCCCCTCTATATCAAGTGCCATTTATGACTTAGCCTATGTCTAGTCACTCTATTCTGTTCCATAGGTTTATTTGTGTCTTGGGGCATCCATACAATACTGAGTCTTCCAATCCACGAACAATGGCATCTCTCTCCATTTATTTAGGTCACCTCTGCTGTCTTTCAGTGAAGTTTTATAAGTTCCCTGTCAGAGGTACCACACATTTTGTCCCTTCGATCCTACAAAGATGTCAGAAGCACTGCTCAGTGTCTCAGCTGCCTCTTCCAGATTGGCCAACTTTCCAGACTCACATCTTTGGCTTTCTATTTTCTTGTAGATCTTGGCCCAGTAATTCCATACTGTCTTTTTAGCTTGATACTTTAAAGAACATGATTTTTATATTCTGTCTGGATATTTTAGTTTCCTTCAACAAGAGAGTTGGCCCAAATTACTCAGTCTGCCACCACTGGGAGGAAGTCCCCAGATCTTCTTTATCCTTGCATCCTCTAGATCTTTCCAGTTTATCTCCTCTTCCTCCCCCGCTCCCCCATCTCATTATCTTACTCATCAGCACCAAGCTTCACTTCACTCTGCTTCTTTCATCCTATTGGCTTTGGCCTCTCCTTTCCCCCTTTCTTTGTATTTTAATTAAAATTATAGCATGTTTCATGACCAAGACAAACAGAAATGAGCTTGATGAAAAATAAAAACATTATTAGCACATCCCTCAAAACAAAACAACACAATAATCCCACAGGATTCAGCCATAAAGCACGTTTAGTTATCATGAACAAAATTCAGAAAACTCATAGAAGAAAATCAGGAGACAGTGTGGCAGTGTCGAGAGAACTTGGCCTTAGATTAAGATAGATTTGGACTTTAGTCTCTCCACCATAATAGCTGTGGAAACAGGCAGATTTAGGGACTGTGATTAATTAATGGAAATTGACCTCTTTTTTTCCTTTTGGTTGGTCAGTAGATCTATATTTTGTCCATCTAGGCTGCACAACTGCCCTGATGTTCTTTATATTCCACAGTGGACAGAAGAGTTCATTTTTCATTAAAAGAAAAGATCACTGTAGGTGCTTTTATCTGACGTCCCAAAGGTAAATAAAATGGGCTGTCAGATGTTCAGGTCCTTTGAATTATTTTGAAATTTGGATTGTCCAACTCTCTGGTTTAGCTGATGTCACCACATTACCTAATTAAGTAAATATCTTTCCTTTGGTATTTCTTTGGTTGACACTAGGAAAAAGAATTATGGTTTTGATGTAGGAGACTTCTGGGATAGGCCAGTGAAGATTGATAAAGGATTTAAGGCAGGGAGGAGGAGAGGGAGGGCTTTTGAGAGATTAACATTCCAGGGGTTGGAGATGAATATAGCCCTTGCCAGGAGTGTGTATCTCAATTTACACAAAAGACCAATTTATGAAAATGTGTATATGCATTAACTTTTAATAAGTGTAATCACATTAGAATTTCCCAAAGGGTATTAGTACATAATGAAACCTGGTTGTGAATCCTTCCGTAAAATGAAAAATGTTTTTTTCCTTTTTTAAAAATATCAAATTTTATTAAAATAAATGTTATATGGACTTTGGAATGTTAACTATTAAAAATATACTTGAAGTATAAACATATTATTCATTTACCAAGGAGCAGATTTTTCTAAAATAGACCAGGGTAAAAAGTAGCATATTTTCACCTACTTGAATCCTAACATATGTATTTTTCTAAGGAATATATTTTAGGTTTAAATTTTAGCATATTCAGTATTAGGTTTCTCGCTCTCTTTCTGTTTTTCCCTTAATATAGCAGTTAGTTTTCAAAGCTGAGAACGCCTACATTTTGCTGCTTTCACTTGTACAACCGGTACATGTAGTACCATGTTCGGATAGCCATACAAGAAACACAGATGTCATTATATTCTTACATAATATCTTATTTTTTTCCTAATAATCTAGTTATTTCTCTCTTCCAGTCCCCTAAGATCACTGGGGAATTTGTATAATCTTGAGTAAGTATAATACAAGGACTTAAAGTATAATTTTGTTATTTTGGGAAGCCTAATTCCAAATTCTATCTCAGTATCCAATATCTTCTTTGGGTGACGTGTGCCAGCCCAACATACTAGCAGCTTTTGTCCAGAGCTAAATTGACAAGAGATGTGCTCAAAGAAATTACCATCCCTTTTTCAACTAATATTTAGTAGGAACATGAGATTATAAATTAATGGAAATATGAAAGGGGGAATTGATATGGATAGAAGGATGGGGTAGAAGGAATATTTTATTTTTTATTTTTATTTATTTTTATTTATTTATCTGACAGAGAGAGAGAGCTAGCGAGAGTAGGAACATAAGCAGGGAGAGTGGGAGAGGGAGAAGCAGGCTTCCCACGGAGCAGGGAGCCCGACGTGGGGCTCGATCCCAGGACCCTGGGATCATGACCTGAGCCGAAGGCAGATGTTTAACGACTGAGCCACCCAGGTGCCCCAAGGAATATTTTATATCTTATTAAGACAGGAGTACTGATGCCTCAGTGCCTGAAGGAAAGCTTGCCCTTGAAGCTGGCCTTGGAAATTTGAAGCTGTCCAGAAAAGAGCATATAAACTCTGCAATCTCACTGTGATGAAATTAACAGATAAAGTTTTGGTCTTCCCTGGTGTTTACAAAGAACAGATATTCATGGTTAATGGCAGCTCTTTTTTAGGAGGTCACTTCTCAAGTCCTCTGCCTCCTAGAAAGTGATATTTATCTTAGAGAAATTTCATCTCCACAATATCCTGTCTTGTGTTGTCAATCTGTTAAATTAGGAGTTTCTGTTACAGAGATCCATCAAGAGAAAAAGACAAGGATGATCATGCAGCCAAGAATAATGTTCATTTACTTATTTTCCCAGATCCCAAAGTACTAATAAATGGGATAAATTAGAGAAAGAATGTTGATGATTTGTACATTAACTGCACTCAGTGGTAGATGACAGTTTTCTTTGGAGCCCCTTCAAGGCCAAACTATGCAAATTTATCACATCTGGTTGCATTATTTACATCAAATGGCATCATAAATTTTATAGGCATTATAAACTCCGTTTCGGTATGGCCTGATGCAGCCCCTTTCTTTGAAGGCAGCATGAAATGCCAGGGAAGAAGATGTTTCAACTCATAATGAGGATCAGGATACACAGAGAGAATACAGTTCTTGCCTTATGATTAGTGAAGCTGACCTCTGAAGTCCTCACCCTCCCAGAAGTAAGTGCTCTTGGATTTGGTTCATAGCAGGGGGTGTTTGGGTCTGGAGGGGTGATGTATTTGATTCTCTCCATGACTGCTAAGGGCCAATGATTCTGAAAGTCCTACAAAACATGAGACAGTCCCACAAATGAGGAATTGTTCTGCCTAAAGTGCAAATAACATTCCTTTTGAGAAACAACTACAGGAAAGTACAAGGGCCACTGGGACACTCTGGGTACACATTGTCTTAATCACCACTGCTCTGTTATAAACTGCTCTGTTATTTCTCATGATTCTGTGGGTTGACTGGGCTCAGCTGGGCTGTTTTTCTGCTCCATGTGGTGCAGCTGGGGACATTTGTGCAGCTCTCTTTAGCTGAGAGCTCAACTAGGCTTGCAACATTCAAGATGGCTTCGATTCTCCAGGGTCTGTTGGTATGTGCCTTCTCCTTATTCTGTAGTCTAGACAGAGCTTCTCTATGGCACAGTGCCTGACTTTCAAGAGGGAGTTTTCCAAAAGTGCAAAAATGGAAGCAACAAGCCTTCTTATAGGCTAACCTTGGAAACCACACATCACTTCTGGCTCCTTCTGTTGGACAAAGCAACTCCCAGGGCCAGCCCAGAATCAAAGGGAGGGTCAATAGAGAAGAGGAACAGCAAAGTCTCATTGCAACAGCCATGTGGATGGGAGGGTTATAGCACTTTAAGAAATGATCCTTACGCATATGATTACATTTAATTCTGTGTAAGGTAGGACTTATTATTAATCCCATTTAAAAATTTTTTTATTTTTATTTTATTTATTCTTAAAGATTTTATTTATTTGAGAGACAGAGAGAGAGACAGAGAGAGAGGGAACACAAGCAGAGGGAACGACAGAGGGAGAGGGAGAAGCAGGCTCCCAGCTGAGCAGGGTCCTGAGATCATGACCTGAGCTGAAGGCAGATGCTTAACCGACTGAGGCACTCAGGTGCCCCTATTAATTCCATTTTTATAGAAGATGAAACTGAGGCCTTGTGAGGTTAAGTGACATGCCCAAGATCATGTCAAGTTTTGGTCTTCCAAAGCTAGGTTGCCTGATTCTGAATCCTTTTGTCCTCTTATTTTATGTTTTATTTTATTCACTTAGAAGTTATTTCAGGGTTAGGCAAAATGAAGGAGGCTTGTGAATTGGTAAGTGCTCTCCTTTCAGTGGCTGTTGAATGTCTTCTGGACTTGCATCCTAAAAGGTCATGCAGATTGCCCATGGCCCCTGTACTGTAGGGGCCCACCTAGTCCCACTTCCTTGGACTGTAGATTAAGCTTTGAACAGTCTCCTCAACACCTTCTCCTATTCAAATGATGGCATGCTTTTCCCTGTCCTGCTCTCAGCCAATACTGAACCAGAGAGCAGCTAATAACGTAACTCAAGTGCATCCAAGTATAGGGATTGCCTGATATTTCTGCCTACTCAGCATCAGTTTTCCCATCTGGTATCAGAATCCCAATTTCCCTTGGGGAGTCCATTTCTTCCTTTTGTTTCATGTGGTTCAAATGGTGTTGAATGCAATCCTGCTCCAGGAGTTGGCAGATGTTGAGGGCTGGCTAATCAGAGGTTTGCATTTCTCTTATTGTGGTGACTGTTTCACAGGTGAGCACAGTACTTGAGCTAGGTCAATGTAAACCACTAAAATTCAGTCTAAGACTTTCTGGGAAAATGTGAGGTAGGCCTGTCACAGTTGAGAGCCATCTTGTCCATGCAAGGCAAGAGCATGCAGGAGAATAAGGTCAATAAGGGGAGACAGAGGGGAAATGATGCCGGGGGTGAAGTGGTCCCATAGCATCATTTGAGGCTCTGGAAAGGGCCAGTGCCAGATCTACCCCTGGATTTTTCAGGCTGTTAGTCAATAAATTCCTCTTTTTGCTTTAACTAGTTCTGATAGGGTGTTCTGTTGACTACAGTGGAAAGAATCCTGACTGATGGTAGACAATTTATGGTGACCAAAAGGACTCTCAGAAAAACACCTCACATAAATATTCATATGAAAAGAAATAACAATTCAGGAATTACATTGTGATTCAAATACTGGGGATCCTAAGGCAGTATAATGATAAAACTCCAGGTAAGTACAGTTGACCCTTGAACAACATGGGTTTGAACTACACAGGTCCACTTTTATGCAGATTTTTTACATAAATACAGTGCAGTACTGTGAATGTATTCTCTTCTTTATGATTTCCTTGATAACATTTCCTTTTCTGTGGCTTATTTTTATAAGAATACAGTATGTGATATATATAACATACAAAATATGTGTTAATCAACTGTTTACATTATCAGTAAGGCTTCTGGTCAACAGTAGGCTATTAGCATTTAAGTTTTGGGGGAATCAAAAGTTCTGTGTGGATTTTTGACGGTGGTGGGGGGGCAGCACCCCTAACTCTTGTGTTGTCAACTGTACAGAAAAATGTAATACGAGATCAGGAATTCTATCAATGAGAAACAAAATAGCAGTAAGTGCTGCTAGATTGTGTTCCTTAGCCAGCCGAGATTATGAATTGTACTTTGTTTCTGAATGCAAGATTTCTAGTTCATTGCCCTATACATAGTAATTACTAAAGTAGTCACTGTAACCCAAACCCCCAAGTTACTGAACAGAGTCTTTCCTGAAGAGAAGGCAGAAAGGTTTTTTCTCATGTGCCAACTCTGATAATTGCTCGTGCCTGCTTGAGGCACAGACTGAAGAAGCCTTGTGAAGCCTGTGTCAGGCTGGGAAAGGGTGAAGGAGTGGTAGTGTCTGCTGTGCGTGAGGGGAGGGGGCATGGAAGCAGCATCTGGTCTCTCATATATGGTGGTGACAAAAGGAGAGAGGAGGGTTGCCTTTTTAATTTTTCCTTTCTTTCTGGTCTTATACCCTACCAATTTTGGAGATTTCCTTGTTAGATAATTATAGTTGATTTCTTTGCTAGCTTACCTAAGCCTTAGGTCCCAAGGTTATATTTGGAGGCTGCTTGGGTAATTTGGTATCCCATATCAAGAGGTAAAATATACTGAACAGAAAAGTATTTTCTGCCATTTTATTTGGTTGGCTTGAGTTAGGTAGAGACTGAGTCTTGAGTAACCCATGGAGGCCTGGTATACTCTTGCCAAATCCTTTTCTTCTCCACTGTAATCTTCAGGGGAGGCAGAGAGTCACATGCTACCTTGAACTGGTGGAATGTACTTGTGGCATTTGTTAGAACCTCACTGGACAGTCAGAATAATGTCCCCTCAGCCCCCCAAGACATCCACGTCCTAATCCCTGGGACCTGTGAATATGTTATGTTACATGGCAAAGGGGAATTCAGGGTGCAAATGAAATTAAGATTAATAATAATTAACATAGACTATCCTGGGTTATCTGGGTGGGTCCAGTGTGATCTCAAGGGGTCTTAAAAATGGAAAAGGAGCAAATGAAGGGGTTGGAGTGATGTGGTATGAGAGGGACTCAGCCTGCCATTGTGATTTTGAAGATGGAGGAAGGGGGCCATGAGCCAAGAAGCTGGAAAAAGCAAGGAAATAGATTCTCCCCTAGAGCCTACAAAAAGAAGGCAGTCCTGCTGAGACCTTAATTTTAGCCCAGTGAGTCCTATGTCAGACTTCTAACCTGCAGAATGATGAGATGTTAAATTTGTATTGTTTGAAGCCACTAAATTTGTGGTAATTCGTTAATGGCAGCAATAGGAAATGAGTACAGATTTCCTTGCAATGAGAGGAAACTCTTTTATATGCAATTGGAATTGAAGAATCAGAGTTGAATGGGATTTTGGAGGGCTTTAACCCACACTAAATTCCCCACACATGAATTTCCTCTACCATATATTTAATAAATGGTCTTCCAGTCTGTGTGAACCTGTCAGTGGTGGGAATTGGCAAGATCTAGAAGTGGTTTGTTCCATTTTTGGATGGTTTGAACTGTCAAAGTTCTTCCGTCCAGCATAAATAGAAGTGAGCTTTCCTATAGCATTACTTCTTTATTTTGGTTTTGCTTTCTAGAATTGTACAGGAATTATCCAAGTATCTTGTTCATAAAAGATAGATCTTTAGGTATTTGAAGATTTAACCATGATTCTTTAAAGGGTTCTTTTTTTCCAGACCAAATATCCTCCTGCTCTTCTTGTGGATTCCCCAGCACACATCCTCTGGTGACTAAAACTGAAACACACACTACAGATGTGGTTTGATCAGTAGAATGTCTGTAGAGGCTTAATTATCTCCTTTGTTTTGGATATCATACCTCTGTGTTGCATTTACTTTGTCAGGAGCATCTCTACCATATGACCAGTGCTGTATAAATGGCACCTTAATGCAATCTCCCCTTTGCCTTCTCCAAAGTTCTGAGTGCTCTGCTTTATACCTAGTAGATGCCTAATATGATGTTTATTCCTGAACATGGTGGGGTTTTCCTATCCTTTATCTTCCTGGTCTCATTCCTTGTATAACCTGCACTTAGGGGTGAGGTAGGGGAGGAGATAAAACTGATTCTGCATGGGGTGCCTGGGTGGCTCAGTTGGTTGAGCGTCTGCCTTCGGCTCGGGTCATGATCCCAGGGTCCTGGGATCGAGTCCCGCATTGGGCTCCCTGCTCAGTGAGGAGCCTGCTTCTCCCTCTGCCTGCCACTCCCCCTGCTTGTGCTCTCTCTCTCTTTCTCATTCTCTCTGGCAAATAAATAAAATCTTAAAAAAAAAAAAAAAGACTGATTCTGCAACGTACAGGAAAGAGCATGAGTTGTGTGTAGTCAGACCTGGGTTTGAATTGATTTTTTGTTTTCCTGGCTCTGAACTGTGGGTACATTTCTTAGTCTCTCATGAACCTCAGTTTCCTCATCTCTAAAAAGGTGAAGATTAATTCTTACTTAATGTGAGATTGCCTACGTAATATACAAAACAGTCCTTGGCATAATTTACCATCTCTTATTTCCTGCTTCTCGCCCTACCTCCCACTTTGTTCCTCCCTTACCTTTTACAACTAGAAAATAGTACACAATTGAACTGCTTGGG